CGAAACTGCGAGACCGCCTATACAGCAACCGAACCCGAACTCTGAAACCAACTCAAATCAACCCACCATCAACCGAGAGAACAAGACTCGATCCCAACACCAGCACAACCCAACACGCCTATCACCACTAGCCGCAATCAGGAGCGCCGGACCCCACCTTCCCCAACACCAGAGGACCGGTGGGGTGAGAGCAGCCATGCCCTACAATCCCAGCAACCGCAACACCGGGTGTCGCAGCCACCAGGGCCCCGTTCTGTCCACCGGCATTCCCACCACCCAATCTCGCCACAACCCGCCGGAAAATGGACCCCCGCACATCCACCAGAGGCTCCTACATCAGAGGTGATCAGAGGTCCTCGAACGCGAAACGAGAGCGAGATCGAGATGCAAAACCCCTCCAATCGGAGACCCGACGATGGAGAACGACCATCAGACTCAGATCGAGGGCCCACCACCCAAATCGGGGTCTCGATGACTGCTGAGGGCATCGAATGCAGCGAATCCATCGCCAACAACTGCAGCGAGAGGGGGAAGGTGTGAAGCTGCACAAATCGGCTTCTGCAAGAGAGAGGAAAAGGGTTTCGACAGACTTTATTTAAATGTATATAATTGTTTATATTTTTCACATTTCATATCATTGTGAAAATAAAATAAATACAAACAATTAAAAAAAATGTATTATCAAACACTTTTCTTTACACAATATTTTTATTTAAGGAACATTATTAAACCTTGCATTTCTAAATTTTTTTTTTAAAAAAAAATCATTTAATCTGTGATAGTTAATGTACAAATAATAGTAGAAAGAATCCAAATTTTAAAATAAAGATATTTTTTTTTTTAACAAATCAAAAATATCCAAATTTTTTTAAACCTTTCATATTCCAATATCAATATATACTTCATAACAATCTATTTATATAATTACTAGCTAATAGCATTTAATAAAACCTATTTAATTTTACCTATGTGGAAATTTAACCATTTTCCCTCCAAACCCGTTACTTTTGATGTATTTAATCATTCATTTAATTACTAAATAATCAACACTAATCACTTTAAAATTACAAAAAAACATTTGAAACTTTTGATTACTGATAGTTGACCATATAATGTGTTGATCGTATAATATGATTAGATGTTATTATTGTGGTTACATTCAAAGTAATTTTTTTTAAAGAAATAAAAAACGTATTTGAAATTCCTAAATAAATAATAAATAATTCACATAAAAAAAGACGTACCAAAATATACATTACATCCAATCAGATAAACGCAATTTAAAAAAATAAATATTCCAACTCCTTTAATTGTAAATTTGGCCAGCAAAAAGGTGAAAGAAAAATAACTAATCATTATATGCATATAAATAACTCACAATACTTTATTTACATTTGTGCAAATACACAGGGCCGATTACTAGTGTTGATAAATGGATTTGATCAACTAATTTAGGGTTGCTTTATTGATGAAATACGAAATTCTTGCTAACTGTTGCAAGTCGGTATTTTTGTCTACAAGTCGGTTTCTTGCATTACAAGTGGTTTATTGCACGCTCAAGCTGAGGTGATAAATACAGAATTTAATGTCTCGAAAAAAGATCCTCGTATCGGGTTTAATGCTCCTATTTATAGTAACTGTGGGCTCGTCTTTTTATGAGATACGGCGGCATTTAATGCGGTGTGACAGCGTAGGTTAGGCTTTTTCTGCAAGTGGGTCCCCCAACAATGATGCTCTCACGTGGGTTGGGGTATTTGATAGACATGCATTTAATGCAGCATATGGAGGCCGACGTAAGCCTTTAGGGATGTCGTACCCACTTGAGTCGGCTTTACTGAAGAGGTCGGCACCTCTAGGGAGGTCGGCTTCTCCAGCTCGGGGAACTCTTCCCTTCTCCTGTGTGACGCGACTCACCTTCACGATCCACGTGTCGTTCAGCTCTCATGCGAGATGATTTTTATGTCAACATTAAGGCCCCTAACATTGAGGGGGACATGAATAATGGTCCGCCTTAATGTCATTTTTTCCTCATTGTCGATACCTTCTGCTAAGTGGCCCAAACCGACTTTCCATCCTTAGTTGAAGCTCCTCCCATCTTTTGTGCGGAACTCTTATTTCTCTCGATTCAGCGCGTGTTGTCGCGGAGCGACGCACCCATCCCTTTCAGTTCTAGGCAGTTACGCCCTTCCATTACACGTTCCCACGATCTCTGATGGTGCCCTTACGTGGCAAGTCCCTATTGGTTCGCGTGTAATTACGGGAGCAACGCGAATGGTCCTCATCTTAAATTGTAACGGTTCGTGAATGTCAATTTCTTCCTAACGGTCATATTGTCCTCATCTAAATACGGTCCTTCCCCGTTTCTCGGAGATACACTTCTCTCCCTTTTGATCTTTTCACTTCGTCCCCTTACTTCTTTACTTCCCTTTCTCTGCTCCCCTGGTTTTCGCCGTCCCTCACTTCACCGAGTCGATTGTTTTCCTGCGGTGAGTTCCCCGACCTACTCTCTCTCTTTCTTTTTTATATTTCTTGTATTTTGCTTTTACTTCATCGGGATTCCATCAACGCTTGAGGGATGGCTGAACAAACGGAGGAGAGCAGCAGTAGGAAGGTTTCTGACGAGGGCTACCGCGGGGTTGCTTCTGATGAAGAAGTCGACATGGAGTTGGCGCTGGGGTATTACCGTTGGGATCCAGTGCTTGCCGAGCGTCTGGTCCTACGGAGGAATAACCATGAGGGCAACAACGAGGTTGAAAAGGACCTTTCCATCCACGAGGCCTATTGGAATCGTCCTCCTCGCCGTTGAGCTGACTCCAGCGTAATTTTTCCCGGTGAACCCAGCATAATGCTCAACGCCGATGTGGTGCTGTTGAGGAAGTTGGCTCGGATTCCACCTACAGTGAGGATGTTCGCCCCGTACCCTGGGGAGAGGATTCATTCTCGTCCTCCCGGCTGTGTGGGGGTGTTCGCCGAGAGAATAAGGTCGGGGCTCAGGTTTCCTCTTCCCAACATGATTACCGACTACCTTCGGGACTGGGGAATTGGTATAATTCAGATCACGTCGAACAGTTGGAAGAAGAGTTTTGGTCTTTTGGTACTTTGCCTGCAGAAGGGGTTGTCATTCCCCTCCATAGACGAATTTCGGAGCGTCTTCTTCTTCAAGTGGAGCCGAGAACGCGAGGGTGTTCTGCCCTCTGGTTGTTTCTTTTTTTTCCGCCAAAGCACTGGGCGAGTTGAAAGTTGGTCAGTTAGTTACCGGAATCTCGGATACGTTGCATGGTTTCCATGAGGAATGGTTTTGGGTCGGTGGCGATTGGGAGTCGGCTGACTTCCGCTTGGAGTCGAAAATAGATGGACTGACTGTCCTGAACCGAGTTGTTCCTGCTTATAGTAATTTTACTTTTTTACCCACCTCGGCACCTCATAACTGTTGGCTTTTTCTTTCTCTAACAGGTTGGAACTTTTGGTATTTGTAATCCGAAGGAAGAAGAAGCCCAAGCTAACCGTCGAGTTCGAGGAAAGACTCAAGGATCTCGCTAAAGTCGAACCTGTTGATCGTAATTGGCGCAAGTTTTTGAAAAAGACGGAATTGGCAAAAGCGGAACTCTCAGCGTCTCGTCTATTTAAAACGATCACCCCTGGTAAGTTAGATTTTTCGTTGTTAGTATTGAGGTTTATTTTGACGCGACACTCCCTGCATGTTTTAATGATTTTCCTTGGTGTGGGCTTTTAGTTTACTATCTTATCCTCGGTTTCAAGTCAATCGAGGACGCCCAAAACTTCCGACGCAAAGTTCCTAATACCGACGTTCAACTCAAGTTTGGAAGGGAGATTGAGATGGGTCGCTTGAAGTTCTTGTAAAATGTGAAGAGTGCCGCCTCCAGCCGAGGTGCGACGGCTGCAGGTACCGACACCAAGCCGGTGCCCCCGACAGAGGAGTCGAAGCTAGTCCAAGCCTCTGGGTCTGGCCCGATTACCGACCAGGTTCAAGGGACCGAGTTGGTCATAAAGTCTTCCGTCCGCCCTGGCCTCGAGGAGAAAGAGGCGTCCGAGGCCCCTCATGATGTCCATATCCTCGTATCCAGTGCCGAGGAGGCCGAGGAGGAGAAAAATGCTGTCGAGGAGCCCTCTACTCGCAAGAAGCGCAAATCTAAAAAAAACCTGAAGGTGAGTCGCACGTCGCTGGGGAACGTCGGTCCAAGATGAGGCATGATGTTGTTCTGACTCTGGGAAAGAGAAACGCTCTGGTGCATCAG